GAAATTGGGTTCCAAGGTTTATGGGCTAAGGTTGAAGGAAGAATCTTTGGTTAGGTTATGTTGCCACACTTATATGGATTGGGGTGACATGGGATCACCCACGTGTAGGTGCATGATGAGTTTACACAGTGATTTGATAGTTTTGGAACGACTCTTAGCACGTTCGAGGACGAACATGTTTATGTGAAGGAGAATGTAATGACCCAACCCGTCATTTTGAGCAGTCGCATTGCGTTCTGCTGTTTGAAGTCGTAAGTAGCTCAATATGATGTATTATAACATGTGTGAATCATCGGTTTTAGTTTTTAGGTGATTCAGAAGGAAGAATGAATCTCATGTTAGAAGCTTTAAATTAGAAGGGTTGACCAAGTTTGACTTTTGTGTATTTGAGCCCGGATCAGAGTTTTGATGATTCCGTTAGGTCCGGATAGTGATTTTGGACTTGGGTGTATGCCCGGATTTGCATTTGGATATTTCTAGAAGTTTTCGGCACTATTTGGCGAAACTTAAAAATTTGGAGGTTTGGATTGTTTATAAGTTTGACCGAGAGGTGAATTTGATGATATTGGATTTGAATTGTTGTTTTGGGAGTTGGAATAGCTTGGTTATGTCATTATGGAACTTGTGTGCAAAATTTGAGCTTATTCCGGGTTGATTTGATATGGTTCGGCACGAGTTTTAGAAGTTGAAAGTTTAAAAGTTCATTAAGTTTGATTTGAGGTATGATTCATGGTTTTGATGTTGTTGAGCGCGATTTGAGGCCTCGAGTAAGTCCGTGTTATGATATGAGACTTGTTGGCATGTTCGGACGGGGTCCCGAGGGGTTCAGGTGTATTACAGATGGATTTCAGACCATTTTTAGGCTATTTTCAACTACTAGTTTTCCACTACAGGGGTGTACATCGCGATCGCGGAGAATTGGTCGCGATCGCGATCGCGAAGAGTAAAATGGAAAAATTGGACCTGTGAATCACGTTCGCGGAGGAAGCTTCACGTTCGCGAAGAAGAAATCCTGCTGTCACTAAGATGCCTTCGGAAGCCTATATCTTGAAATCTATAAGGAATTTGGAGATGATCTATATACGAAAGTTGTGGCCCTTTGTTTCTAGTTTTCAAAAAATTAAACCGTTTGTTATTTGGAGTTATGAACAAAAGTTTATGGCTGATATACTACAGGCTATCTGAGAAGAGTTTGGGAAGGATTAATGGAAATTTATTCGTCATGATCGCGGGGAAAAGGCCGCGATCATATTGGGTAAAAATTATACTGGATAATTTTGGAATCGCGAACGCGACATTGGTGACCGCAATCGTGAAAGGGACCTCTAGAGCAATGTATAAAGTACTCTATTTCAAAGATCTTGGTCATTTTATCATATTTTGAGCTATGAAGCTCTGATTTGGCCGATTTTCACCACATGGATTGGGGTAATTATTATTTACTCGATGTTGATTATATTTCATGAATATATCTTCAATATTGGTATTTAGATTATGAAACTTAAAGAGAAATTGGAGATTTTTGTCTATGCTTTCCTAAAGTAAATTTTTGAGTTAACATTGATTCGGAGTTAGATTTGACTAAAATTAGTATGGTTGTACTCGTAATTGAATGGGTTGTCGGATTATGGTTGACTTTGAGTAATTGATTAAAGATTCAACCTTTATCGATAGGGTTTATCTCCTATGGCATTATTTGATATTTTTGAGTTGCTTTTGGATAGCTTCGAACTGTTCGGATGTTGATACGCGTGGGATGGCATTTCTAGAGGGTCTCGGTATTTGTTTTGGCTTTTTTGAGATAAGTATCTTATCTAAACTTGGTTAAGGCACTAGTTGCCTGAATTATTTGTGATAGCTACATGCTATGGGTTCACATATGTGTGGGGTTGAGCCCATGTGTGAGCACGAGGTATTTATCCATGCCCGGAGTAGTGCTTAGTCTATGATATGCCTAGAGTTGACTATTAAGCTTTAAGCTATAATGTTTCTCATATCTCTATCATTCTTGTGAACTATTTGATCCATGATTGAGATGACGAAGAGGCTAATTCCCTGAATAAACTTGGTAATTGCTATTTTTATGATAAAATTACCGATGTGAGCTATGATTGCACATTTTGCACATGCCTACACTATAGCATGTTATTATACCAGTCGAGAAGCATGAAATATGATAATTATTCATCATATACATGTGCTCTTGTATACTTGCTTCTGTGTGATATGATTTGGATCGGATGCATGTGACCACGCCGGGCGGATTGTGTTGTTATGCCTGTGACCATACCGGTTGGATTGTATTGTTATGCCTGTGACCATGCTGGGCAATTGTATTGTTATGCCTAGGACTATACCGGGTGGATTGTGTTGTTATGCTTGTGACCACGTCAGATGGATTGTATTGATATGTTGTGACCACGTCGGGCGGATTATGATATTGATCATGTGAACATGCCGGGCTGGTAGCATGTTGGATTGGTCATTCTTGCATGTGGATAAGGATCCATCCCTCTATTTTCATCCTCCCATGTTTCTCTCTTGATGGTGCACACGCGGATTGTGAGAGACCAATGGGTTTTTGGTTCATGTGAGCTCTGGGAGATCTAGTTACTATTATTGAATCGGGTTGCACGCCACAACATGCCTTATTGGCTTATGGTTATTGGATCGGGTTGCACGCCGCAACAAAATGATAGTTGGTCATTGTATTTCATCTTTACTTGCAATCTCCTTGACTTTTTACCTGGTTTACTTGCATATCTTCTTTATATACTAGATTGTTAACTGAGTAGAACATTTTAAATAAATAATTGTGAGCATCAAAGTGGTTTTTACCTAAAATTTTCCTGATTTGATCACATATCTGTTCTATACTTGTTGAAATTATGAACTGTAAAAGTGTTAGTGAGTATCATTTATGGTTCTTGCTCCTTTTACCTCGCGAGGTTAGTTAGGATACTTATTGAGTACATGGGGTCAGCTGTACTCATACTACACTTCTGCACTTTGCGTGCAGATCTTGGAACTGGTTGTGCATGGCGAGACCTGACATTGAAGATTTACCTGTATTCTAGTTATAGCTATCACCTTTCCTTTGTAGCTTTAGATTCAAGTTCTGTTCATGTGCATTCCAAACAGATATTGTAATTGTTTTATTTCATTTTGTAAATCTAAGTCTTAGTGGATCATCACTTGTACTACCAGTCCTTGGGTTGTTGTATAAAAGTTCAATTATTTCATCATTTATCTCATTAATCTCATTTGGAATATGCTGACTATTAATTGGCTTACCTAGCAGGTTGAGTCAGGTGTTATCATAACTAGTGGATTTTGGGTCGTGAAAGATTTGACCCCGACTCGCGTTGGGTTTTATAATTGCAATGACCATTTCATATTCCTTAATTGAGTGTGAATCGAACGTGATCAATTTTTGGTGCTGTTGCCGGGGAGTTTACGGTGTTAGCTATATACTTTAGTTTGTTTCTTGAAGTATCTTCTTTTACTTTCGTGATTCTAATTTGTTGAAGCAATTGTAGGTTTCAAATGGCGAACAAAGAACTTGGAAACTTGCCATTGGGATAGGCGGATGGTGAAGATGAGCAACTTGATAAAATGCCTCAAGCTCCACAACAAAACCACCCAGGGCGTAGGCAACAAGTCAATGTGTCTCTACCTCCCCTATAACAAGCGGCACAACATCGAATTTTGACCAATGAAGGTTATGCAAGTGCCATAGTCCCCCTTGCATTGGGGCGGGAAACTTTCAAATTATCAATGTGATGCTTACTTTGCTCGAGTAACGAGGTTATTTCACGGGGGCGCCGAGTCAAAATGATTACAAGGATTTGAAAGGTTTTGAGGATACGTGTTGGGGCAGCAAACAAACAAATATTTCGGAAGATGCTTTGTGGTTAAGGCTCTTTCCCTTATCACTAAGGGGTAAGGCTTTGGATTGGTTGGAATGGTTGCCTAATCATTCTATTCTTACTTGGGATGAATTGGCGGCGAAATTTTTTCAAAGTTCTTCTCTCCCGGGTACATGGCTACTCTACGGGATGAAATATTGGTCTTCAAGCAAGAGCCCAATGAACCGTTGTATGAAATTTGGGAGCAATATCGGAAAATGGTGAAGGAGTGCCCAAACAATTATATGACCAACAACATGATCCAACAAACTTTTTACCGTGGTACTAATACTACAAATCAATGTATGGTCAATCAATTGGCCGAAGGAAATTTTATGACAATACTTTATGAAGAGGCAAGTGGGATTCTTGATGAGATGGCGGAAACTTCTTTGGCTTGGCGATATCGAGCTAATGTTCCCCAAGGTGATCCCAACATGATCCATCTTCATAAAGAGTTGCAAGACCATGGGCAAGCTATTTCTGAATTGATCACAACCATGAATCAACTTGCTAAGGCTCAACTTAATCAAACCCATGCTCCTAAGAAAGTTCATACTATGGAGGGAGTGAATATCTTGGCCAACTAGAAGAGGACTGAAGGTCCACAATTTCAATCCTACGTGGAGAATTATGCATAAGATGATGGTAGCTATGACCAAGATGATTCATACAAGAGAAAGAAGAAAAGGCATAATTTGTGAACAATTACCAAGGGCAACTAAGCAATTTTCAAGGCTCCAATTAAAATCAATGGCGTTCTTAAAAGAACCAAGGCAATTGGGGTTCTAACAATCAAGGAGATTAGCATAACAACAACAATAACCAAAGGAATTAAGAAGGAAACAATCAAGGAAATTGGGGGAACAATAATATTCATGCAAATCGAGGTTTGGATTTTCAAAGGCCCCCAATGTACCAACAACCGAGCAACCCACCTCCTTATCCTTCCCATGGTTCAAGTTTTTCAAACAACAAAATAGTCCGTATTGAGAACATGTTCTAGTAAATGGGAGAAAAGAGTACGGATTCGGATGTGCATTACCAAGTGACATAGTTGTGAACCTAAAGGGTAACAATACGGGGCATGCTATGGCGGTCACCACAAAAAGTGGAAGAGGCGGGAATGCACCCACCTCAAATGGAAAGTAGCTTGTAGATGATGATCAAGTGATCCGAGAGCACCAAATGATGTTCAAGTATATGATGATATTCGAATTGATATTGATGATAGTGTGGAGGAGACCCAAGAAGAGGTGAACCCATCTAGGGAATACATTATTGACATATTGGAACTGGTAGTGCGAAAGGCTAAGGCACCTTTGGCAAAGCCTCCACCTCCTTATCCTGAAAGTCTTGCTAAGAAAAATGGTGAGAATCGATTCATGAAGTTTATTCAAATGATTAAGGATCTCTCTATCAACGTGTCATTGGTAGAGATCTTGTGACCAAGAAGAGGTCGATGAATTTTGAAACTATCAAAGTCACTCATCAAGTGAGTGCAATTGTTATTCCATGGCTCCTAAGTTGGAGGATCCCGGTGCTTTTACAATTCCATGTACTATTAAAAGTGCCAATTTTGTTAAAGCTCTTTGTGATATTGGGGCGAGTATCAATTCGATGCCTTTGGATTGTGCAATGAGCCGATGACTTTTCAACGGTGTATGATGGCTATCTTAACGAACATGGTGGAAGAATACTTTGAGGTATCTTCATTGATGACTTTTTGGTGGTAGTAGATTCTTTTGATGATTGTATTACTAATTTTGGACAAAGTGTTGGCTAGATGTGAGGAAATGCATTTGGTACTCAATTGGGAGAAATGTCATTTCATGATTGAGGAAAGAATTGTCCTTAGTGATTAGATTTCAAAGAATAGTATTGAAGTGGACAAGGCAAAGATTGAAGTTGTTTCTAAACTTTCAAACCCCCCCCCCACCCCCTCCGTGGAGGGTGTACGAAGTTTCTTAGGCCATGCAGGTTTCTATAGGCGTTTTATCAAAGATTTTTCTAAAGTGATGAACCTTTAATGCGAACTCCTTGAAAAGGATGCCAAGTTCCATTTCAATTATGATTATGAGATCTTTTGAACAGTCGAAGCTCAAGTTGACAACTACTCCTATCATTACATCTCCAAATTGGAGTTTGCCGTTCGAGCTCATGTGTGATGCAAGTGATGTAGCGGTTGGGGCTATTTTGGGTCAACGTATCAACAAAGTTTTTCATTTGATTTACTTTGCTAGTAAGACCATGAATAATGCCCAGGTCAATTATACTATCATGGAGAAAGAGCTCCTTGCTATTGTGTTTCTATTGAGAAGTTCCACCCGTACTTGATGGGTGCCAAAGTTATTGTCCACACAGATCATGCGGCACTTCGCTATCTTATGAGCGAAAAGGAATCTAAAGCTCGGTTGATGAGATGGGTTCTTTTGTTGCAAGAGTTTAATATTGACATCTAAGACAAGAAGGGAAGTGAAAATCAAGTGGCAGGCCACTTATCTCATTTGGAGGAGGAGGGGAGGCCACATGATGGCCTTGAAATCAATGAGACTTTCCCCGATGAGCAACTTTTGGTACTTTCAATGAAAGAGGTACCATGGTTCGCGGATTTGACAAATTTTCTTGTGAGTGGTATCATTCTGGACGATTTCTCTTAAAACCAAAGAAAGAAGATCAAGAGAAATTGTCAAGATATTATTGGGATGAACCATACCTTTTTCGGCTTTACGGGGATGGGGTGATTAGAAGGTGTGTGCCAGACGAAGAGAAAGGTGATATTTTTTAAGCTTGTCATTCTTCTCCATATGGTGGTCATCATGGTGGAGCATGAATGACGGCTAAAGTCCTAAGTTGTAGTTTTTATTGGCCTGCACTCTACAAAGATACAAATGATTTGGTGAAAAGATGTTATGAATGTCAACGGGCCAGAGGAATTTCATGAAACATGAGATTCCACTTACAACCATCTTGGAGATTGATATATTTGATGTTTGGGGTGTTGAATTTTGGGCCCTTTTGCGAGTTCTTGCTGAAACACCTACATTTTGGTCACAGTGGATTACGTGTCTAAATGGATTGAAGTCGTTGCTTTACCCAATAATGAGGCTAGAAGTGCGGTGGCTTTCTTGAAGAGGAACAGTTTTACAAGGTTTGGGACTCCGCGAGCAATCATAAGTAACGGAGGGTCACATTTTTTGCAACAAAGTTTTTTATACTTTACTTGGCAAGTATGGTGTCACTAACAAAGTGACAACTCCCTATCACCCAAAGCTAGTGGTCAAGTGGAAGTCTCCAGCGGGGAGATAAAGAGTATTCTATCTAAGATGGTGAATGCAAATCCGATAGATTGGTCTAAGAAGCTTGATGATGCTCTATGGGCATAGAACGACTTACAAAACACCGATCAAAATGTCCTCTTACCGGTTGGTATTCGGAAAAGCTTGTCATCTTTCGGTGGAACTAGAGCACAAGGAAATGTGGGTCTTGAAGAAATTGAATCTTGATTGGGATGTCGCCGCTAAATATGGAGTTGCACACTTGAATGAATTGGATGAATTCTGTTACCATGCATATGAAAGTTCATTGTTGTACAAAGAGAAGATGCAATATCTTCATGACAAGTATATTTGGAACAAGGAGTTCAAGGCCGGTGATCTAGTGTTGTTGTTCAACTCAAGATTGAGAATGTTTGAGAAGCTCAGGTCAAAGTGGAGTGATCTATTTGAAATTGTTGGTGTAACACCTTTTGGTGCCTTGAACTTGAAGAATAAGAAAAATGAAATATTTCGAGTAAATAGTCACCGGGTGAGTCACTATTTGGGGAAAGTTGGTGATAGCCATGTAGTGCCGGTTATTTACTTCATTTGAAGATACTATGACATTGCGTCGTGACACGACGTTAAATAAGGCGCTTCTTGGGAGGCAACCCAAGTTCTTTTCCTTTTTCTCTTTTTGTTAGATGTTGTTTGTTGTTTTTAACTTGATTTGAAGTGTGCTACAGGGATTAGTGTTAGATGTGAAATGATAGCTGATGTTGTGTCATACATGGCAAAAATGCGGACCACACTTTTCTTAGTGCGGCTACAGAAGAGGAATGCGTACCGCTGAATGTTTTAGGCGGCCGCTGATTTTATCTATGGACTGCAATTGCAATGATCATCTCAGGTGCTAAATGGAATGTCCTCTGAACTTTTCTCCCAATAGTGCAGAGTGAGTTTGCGAACCATCACGAATTATGCGGTCGCAATAGAGAACAATCAGAGAAGTAGCTGGAACCAAGTTAACATAAGTGCGGTCGCACTTGAAAAAGTGCGGACCACACAACTACATGCTTTCCTTCTGCCTAGGTAGTAGAGTGCGGACCGCACTTGGAATTGTGCGGCCGCAGTCGCCTTCTTGCACCCTCACCTTCATCTGAGTATAAATAGAACAGTACCTCCACCATTTGACTTTTTCGCCATTTTCCCTCTCAACCTACCACTCTAAGAGGTACCCACGTGCTTGCGCTGTGTGATCATAAACAACCCTTCACACTCACTTGGATATTATTACACTAGCACTATTTTGTATACATCACTTCAATCTTGTTGTTTTTATTTTTAAATTTGTTTTGGCTTTTTACTTATTTTTTAGGCTATCTGTTATTACATCTCTTTGTTGTGTCTATGTGGGGCTAGTTTAACATTGGGTTATTGCCAAAGCATAATTAGATTAGGTTGGATTGTTGATTATCATGCCCATGCCATGCCGCCACTATTCTTAACTATGCATATCGCACTTAAAATTGTGCAGTCCACATACTTCTGATTTGATAACTTCCATGCTAGTTGATTGTGCGACCGCACCTTAAATTATGCAGACCGCAGTTTGAATTTTATGATCGCAAAGAGAGGTACACACTGACAATTAGAGAACTTATTCTCTAAGGTCCTGAGTACTTTTACTCAAGTGTGGAACGCAAAAGTTATTATACGAACCGCAGTTAGTATTATGCGGATTGCAGAAGGAGTCCACACTGTCCATCACAGACCTATCTCTGGACTTAGCACAATTGTGCTGAAGTGTGGCCCACACTTGAAATTGTCTGGACCACACTTCCTCTTTGTGGACCGCACTCCAAATTGTGCGGACCGCACTCGACCATTTGTCTACTGCATGCTGCAAACTTAAAACCCCATCGCTTATATGGTGTCCTCCAATGCTTACATGACTTTAATTGTACATCAACTCACTACTCTCTTTGTGCATACACAAACAATGATGCGATCAAGAGGACGTGGAGAGTCTTCTAAAGGAAGGGGAGAATCAGGAAAAAGTAGAGGCATAGGTTGATAAATGGGGATTTTGACTGCTTATTTAACACCTTTTTGCTTTTGTTTTAGTCCGAAAGTATTGAATTGTGTTCCCGAATTAATCAAATAGTTGAAATTGCAGGAATGCTGGAAGTTTGGTATCCCATGATAAATTCCAACTCGAAAAGGAGTGTTCCGAAGCATAAGGCAATAAAGGGTTCAGAAGCAAAGAAGTGCGGTCCACATAAGGAATTCAGCGACCGCAAAAGAAATCGCGGAATGCAAAATTTCATAAGCGACCGCAAACCAAGCAACAGGACCCAACAAGTTTTTCAGCAATGTGCGGACCGCACATGAATTGTCCGGCCGCAAAACTGGGCTTTCACTGACAAAGATTCAGAGTTCAGAGATTATGCAAAAAAGACCAAGTCCTGATGCCTTGTTAAAGAGCGGACCGCACAAGAATTTCGCAGCCGTAGTCCAGAAATGTGCGGCTATAGAATCCTCTTTCCTGCCAATTGAAGAAATCTGCGGACCGCACATAGAATTGTGCGGCCTCAGAACCTCCCAAGGGGCATTTTTGTCCGCAATTTTCGGCCCAGTATAAATAGACGAGTTTCACAAATTTAGGTCAAGTATGAATATACAAAGCTGATGAATCTGTTTCTTTTAACTATTTTAGGAAGTTTTAGTTTATTTGAGTGTTTGAACATTAGATTTCATCATTTTAATATTCTAGTATGAGTTTAATTAGCTTTTCTTCTTTATTTTCTGCAATTTCCATTATGAGTAGCTAGATTCTTAGTAGGGTTGTGACCAAACCCTCGTGTGTAAACCTTATGGGTAATTAATTTAAGGCTTGTTTATGATTGGGTGTTGATTATTTAGCTTAGTTCATGCTTCAATTTTAGATTTAATGGTTGCAAACATCGATTCATGCCCATTTGACTTAGCCTCTACTTGAGAAAGAGATAGTCTAGGATAACTTGGCTAACAAGGAATTGGGTTAATTGAGAGATTGATTAACCTAATTAAAGGGTTTAAACTTGAGATAGTAAGGACCCGACTTGAGCTCATATCAACTATTCTGATTGATACCCATTTGGACTTGAGAAAGCCAAATTGGGCAAATTACTCTTTGACCGAGAGGTATTGAGTGGGTAATTTAGAGTTGAGAGCTATAATACACATTAATCAACAAAACAAGCATTAACGTCTTTATCCCATTGGGCAAACACCTAGGTTATGGTCACATCCCTAGGCCTTTAAACTATTTGAAAAAACCTCAAAAACATTTATCTCTAGTCTATTTTCCTTAGCTTGCAATTCATTAGAGTAACAGTAGAAGTAGAAAACAAAACTCTATTGTGGCAGTTCAATCTTAGATAACCCATTCGCTTGCTTCAAATATATACTCCTAACACCCCTTAGAACACTCTGTGGATGCGACCCCGACTCACAGTTGTGTAATTTATATTGCATACGACTGTATCATATCTCTTATTAAGGTGTGTTGTGTACATCATCAGTGGTGCCATGCACCCGAGTGCACAAAGGGCCATTACAAAGAAAATAACCACAGGTCAGGGGAGAGGTACAAGCGTCTCAGATTCGAGTTTATATGCCCCATCTAGGGAGGCACCGGAAGAAAACTGTATGTCTCTACCTGAAGAGCACACCAATGAACAATATAGGCCACATAGGCAGTATGAGCCTCTAGATGTGCCTTCCATATCTCACAGTGCCTCCTAGGGCTCGGCTAGTACCAGTCATGAGTCCAATATAGCTGCTCCGGACTCTAATTCTGATGATGCCCCAAATGACGGAAGGGGGAAGATCACTGCAAAGGCGAGCATGGTAAGAACTAAGAAGAAGGTGGTCTAGGAAGACCGGTTTTTGATCCTTAAAGCAAACACATACTTTCGGATGTTGTGGAAGGAACTGACCCACGAAAGGCAATTCCTCCTCAAGGACTTAGACAAATACAATCTCGGTGTCTTGGATCAGTTTACAAAGAGAAAGGGGTGGATGCAGTTTACCAAG